TCACATTTGAAGCATTCTTATTCACAAGGATACATTTTGATTTTATATATTATTAAGGAAATAAAAAATGATCTATACAAACTTTAACAGGAATATCTTTTGTTTTGGTATACTATTTATTTGTGCTATTCATCTCAAATACATGCATGTACTCTTTTGCATAAGGTTAGAATGTGAATGTATTATTATCTATATAACATAATCGATATCCATTTGTTTCTACTGTAATCTTTTGTATTACAATCCATTATTTATTCTATTCTTCTATTACTAATATAAATTTATCATCCCCACAAGATATCACTCTATTTTATTATTCATTTAAACTCAATCTAAATACAGTATTAGTATGATCTGTAATTGTCTATGAACACATCCATTCATTCTATTTCTACCAGAATTTAATTGTATTATCACAACTGCCAGACACAATAAGATCTTCATTATTATTTATTATTAAACATCTGATATCACTTGTATGTCCATTCAATTTTTATTAAGAAATCCATGAATTATTTTGATTTCTTTTCCAAATAATAATCTATTTATCATTACTCCCAGATATAAACTGATCTGATCTCTTCATAAAATTCAACATAACTACTATGTTCACTTAAAATTTAAACTTACTTCATAATTGCTTATTAAAATTCAAATACTTTAATTTAAATGTCACATCCAGCAACCAATATAGAACAATCTTATTTAATAGCAATCACAAAACAATATTCATTTTATTTAATCGAGTTTTGTTATATTAATTAATAAGTGAATGGTTTAAGATTGAATTAAGTAGATATTGATGATTATTGTATAGTTTATTTATTCATAAATTATTAAATCTGATAATCTTTTTCTTAGATTTTATTTTCCCATTTAATTTGATTTTCTTTTTATTAATTTTGATAATATTGATCCTTCTTTTAAAATACTTTTTGAATATTAGTTTTGATTAAAGAAGTCACTTCTTAATTGATTTATTTTTAATAATCGTAATTTGAAAATTGAAATAAAGTAGTAATTTTTGGTAAATCTGATTATAATTAAGATGGTGATATCTAAATAAAACTAAATTTATCATTACGAATTTGATCAAGTTATGCATCAATTCTATTGAATGATTCCTATTTATTAAATAATTATTATACATCTAATGCTTATTACATATTTTATATTATTCCTTCGGTTTTCATTCTCTATTCTTTTTTTATTTAATCTACTTATTCTTGCATTTCTTAATAATTATTTAATTTAATTAATAATTATATCAAATCTCAAGTCAACCAATTAAAATTAGATGTAATTCTATTAAATCAATTTTTTTCATTTTATTTAAATAGTTTGTGTGTGAATAATTTGAATATATTACAATAGAATGTTTCAAATTATAAAATTTTATTTATTAACATAATAACGCAAATGAATTTGATTTGAATGAGTAAATTTAAAAAATGTATGTTGCAAGATAAGATCTTAGAGAATATAATTTCAAAAAATTATACCAATATTTATTTGAAAATAGATTATAAAAAATAAAGTTATTTGATTAATTAAATTTCTTTAGCTTATAATATTATATATATATAATTAAACTCTTTTATCCATATTATATTTTTATAGAGATACTATTCTTTCACCACCATCACATCATCTTCACTCAAGTGCAATAAATCTATTTTGCACTCCCCCCAAGTCTATGCTATTATTTAGATCAGATTTTTTGTCTACTGATATAATAGTTTTTCTTATTCTTAAAAACTTTTAGCAATTAACCTTCCTTTCTCTTTAACTCCCAATCTTCTTAATTAGGATTCCTTTTCTTAAAATTAATATTCTAAAATTGTGTGAATATTTTTTTAATTTATCAAATCAATCAATTTTAATTAATATAGCTTCAAGATGATCGTTCAAATTGCTTTTGCAAACTGGCCTAAAATTATGTAAAAATATGTAAAAATATGTAAGTTATTGAATTGTGAAAAAGGATGATAAATGTGATCAAATATTTTTCTCTCTCTATCAGAAGCCATTGAAATTTGAAATATTCTTAAAAGAGATATGAATTCCTTTTTATTTTTATTTGTAAAATATATCGAAAAATATTTATAATTGTTTAAATTTTCATCAGGGTTATTCAAGTAGAATTATGGATTAAATGAATTTTTCAATCTTTATATTACAGATTGCTTTCACTTATGTTGATCTTATTTTCGATAGGGTGTGGCTTTTTCCATTTATATCAAATCAAAGTAAATGATATATCACTTGCTGATTAGAGCCTAACTATAATCCAGAAATTGGATAATCTGTAATAGCTTACCTAAATAATAAATGAACATTCAAGTTTATGGAAATATCAATTTTTTTGATATTTTATAGAGTTTTAAAGTTGTTTAAATATGAATTTAAGACTTAGTGGATTAATTACTGATTAATAATATATATGTTTATTTTAGAATAATTAGATTATTTTACATCAGGTTCAATCACATAACAAACAGGAATTTAAGTTACTTCGTTTCAGATATCTCTAAAATCATACATTATAATTATATTTCATTAGTTTTGCTGGGTTGATTATATGAGTTAGATTACAAAATTTTTGATACTCTCCTAAGACAGTATATATGATTATGATCTAAAAACTTAGAAGAAACTTAGATTAAAGTGGTGTTCATTAAGGTTAGACATAGAGTTCCTTTTTTATTGACTTATATTGTGTGAATACATGTAAGAAATTAAAGCCAAACTCCAAGAAATCCATATAAAAGGAGAGATGAATTAAGAGAATAATCTTGAGCGCTGAAATTATCGGTCATGTTGATGATGTCATGATCATTACTAATATATTTGCAACAGGTACAATACCTATTGTTTTAATTAATTTGGCTCAATATAGGGATCAGATAAATTCGTTAATATATTTAGTGGAAAATGTAAAATTTAGGACAGTAAATTAATATTAGAGGAAATATATAAAAAAATCTAGAAGAATTTAGGAAAGAAATGAAGTGTAAATCTGCATAATTGGTATCTATGAGTAAGAATCTTCCTTTTAGATTCATTGTAAAGTTTTTGGAGTGTACATGTTCATTCTTTATTGAGATTTACTGATCTCATGTCTGAAATTAATGAAGAGGTATTATTATGATTTTGTAGAATTTGATAAGAAATTCTTTTGAAAAAATGATGAGACTTTCTATCAGTAAGCATAGAGCTATTATGGATTCGTTAGATTAAATATATCTCTTAGGATACTTAAAAATAAAATTAAAGATTAAATAGGAAATATATTTAATATCCATGAAATTTGTAAAAGGTAAAGAAAGACTCTTTTTATTATGGTAAGATTGAGGAGGAAAAGAGGATTAGAATTATAATGTTTTATTGAATGACCTAGGCCTAATTTTGAAAATGTTATTTGATTATTTAGAAGAGACAGATAAATAATGCAAATATTAAAATAGATGATGAAATTTTGTAAACATTAATTAATTATTTAATTCAATCAGTTAATATATATTGTAATTTGCTCTGTCTAATCAATTTATTGTTTGAAATTAAATAGTATATTTCTTCATACATTAACCAGACATAAAATAAATATAAAGTAACTTAACTTAATTTTTTGTATATATTCAGATGTTGTCTCAAATCTTTTATAAATAATTTTTTTTGTTTTTTCTAAAATTATGTATATATTAAACAAAGATGTCGAAAGGCAAATAAATTTTCTCTCTTTTTTGAAATGTGTGAATTTACCTTCCATTTCTACATTCAGGCATTTTAAGAGGTATTTAAATTAATAGAGACTGTGAGATTAAAGACTATACTACTTTAATTTAACTTTTAAATTCAATTAATTTCCTGTCTACTATTAAAAATATTAAATTAAAATACATTTATTATTTGCATTTAATTTCTTAAATTTAATTAAGTTAATTTTTTAGATTTAATGAAATATTTTGTTTTTATTTATTATTAAAATCAATTCTCATTTTTAATAATTTGTAGAATTTTAATAAGTATTCTTTCATCTAAAATAATTTTTAACATTGCCATAAATCTATGAAAATATTAATTTAAAAAATTATTGTTGAAATAATTTCTTATTATTCCTATGATATTAATTATCATTCTTGATTCATGCTGAATTCCATTTATCACTAATGTTCATTTATTGTTAACTGCTGGCATACCAAAAAGTTTAGTGAGGTCAGCGCTCGCTTGACTATTACAATAATGGCATAAACCATTTTTCAATTAAGTCGAATCACTACAGAAGGGGCAAACACATAAGCCCTAGCTCCAATTCTGAATGATATTACCAGAAGATACCACTAGGTTGAATATGTATTCTCAGAATGAACGAGCAAAAAGAGGTAGATCCTATTCATCTCTTATATAATATAGCCATAGGAATCAATATAGTCTTCTGGTAATAAGAACAACTTCCTTTTGGGAGGGGCCTTGACAAATAATTTTTCATCAATTTTATATTTATAATTAATACCACTTATTTGAGAATTCAAAATATTTTCGTAGACTTCAATTAATAATACCCTTATCAAATATAGGTTTAACTTAAAAATGAATAATTTTATATTGCATTCGGGAATAAAATATCCATACATAGACAATTTGATAATACTTAATTTTTGTTTATTCAACATAATCAAACATTAAAGTTTATTTTTTTGGATAAGTTTTAGAAGCAAATAATGGCTTTGCCTGATTCTTATTGAGAGAGGAATTTAATTTAAAATGTATTTATCCTAATATTATGTTTTTTTTAATGAGACAATGGGAATTATAATAGATAATCTAATCATTTTCTTTAATCCTACTAAGATATTTACATTATTCTTAGATTATAAATTTAATGTAGTTATTTTTCAGTTCCTTAATATCAGGAGAATCCATCTTATTAAAATAGATTATAATTATATCACAAATTATCATATATAAATATTGATATTAGAATTTTTCTTGTTAATTGGATGAATTCTTAAATATATAATCTTGTGAGTGTGTTCTAAGTGATATCTTTAAAAATTAATATTAAGTGTTTATGATCGTTTAAATAGCAATTAGAAAGATGATACTAAAATAAAGTCATTGGAATCATCTATGATGGAATTAAAGGAACACTATTGGAGAGCTTATTATTATTTATTGGATTATTAAAAAAGTGATTGGAAATCAGGACATGAATCATGCATATTATAACATATGGAAGTCTTGTGTGAATAGTATAATTTATATGATTCTAGAGGAAGAGGATTTTATTTTTTCAGTTCAGTCTATTCATGTTGAAGTTGTGATGATATAGCTTAAAATACTATTCCTATAATTTTATTGAGTCCATGGACTTTAATAACTACATTGATAATAGTGAGCACAATTATATAAATGATTTAGAAATTTGGAAAAGAATTTAGCTTGAAGGCTTTTGGAGGGAAAGTAGCAATAAACGAAGCTTAAGCAGTTATTTTACTAAGAATTTACAATTACTCTTTAAATTATATCAACAAAACCTCCTTTTAATAATTAATTAAAAAAATGATTATCCTCAGTTTGCAATAGTGTTAGTAACCCTCTAAATATTTTAACATATTATTGATTGCTTCTTAATTAATATCATAGATATATTTATAATATACGTTAGAATCATTTGGATCTTAATTATGAATACTTCCCTCATATCAATTATTGTTATTTTATTTGGAATTCTTCCTTTCTTTATATGGCATAGAGTCTATAAAAATATAGACCTTCCTAATTTTCTTAAGTTAGAAAGTCATGAGGACATTTTTAAAATGAATACTGAAAACTTATTTTTGTGAAAAAATAAAATTAATAAAAACTAGATTATAATGATTTTTTTGCCTTATTATGATAATCATGTTTCAATAAAAGCGTCTCTAGTATTTCTTGTACTATTTGGTAATAGTTTAATAACAATTAAGTAAAGGCCATGTTTGACTGAATAATTAGATCAAATTGACCCAGAATCAACAGTACTTTGTGCTGTATTAATAATTTTGGTTAGTTCAATCTATATTGTATAATAATAGTATTATAAAATTATATGCTCTTTCTATGTCATAATTTTCTTTCTTAATTTTTTCTATATTCTTAAGTTGATCTTAAAATTATTATTTGCATATTTAAAAAAAATTATGAGTATGTAGATAAATTAAAAGAATATTTAGATTAAAACAACTAAAATTATTTTCAAAAAAACTATTTAGAATTTAGAGATTAAGACAGACAGGATACTAAATAATAATGTTCAAAATTATATACCAACATGTATTCTAAGGTTTAAACAATAAAATCTCTACAAGAATATTATTTAATAATTTGTGAATTAATTGCAAGAAAATCAATAATAATTAAAATCTCTATTAATACAACAATTGTTTTTATAGAATAAATAAGTAGAATCATAAAATTATTTTTTTTTAATTTACTAAAAATAGAGTTGAATTCTTATATTTATATTCAAAATTATATAATTATATAAAGGTCACAAATATATCAAATTAATTGATTTTAATAGAGGACAAAAAAGTTTGTTAGAAAAGTTTATTTAATTATTATTTTATGATCTAAATAATTGATATTTTTATTAAATTTTCAATACTAGATAGATCTAAATGTTAAATAAAGATATTTAGAACAATACTGTCTATAGAATTGTGATCATAATAGTAGAAAATAAATATAATTTAATTCAAGAGGGACCTCAGATGAATTTGTATAATAAAGGTTCAATAATATTTTAAGGTTCAAAACCTTTTGTATTTTGAAATGTCAACAAAAATGAATTAATAAATTAACTCATAATTTTTAAACCAGAAACGTCTCTCAAGATGTATTATAATAAATAAAGGTCTAGACAAAATTGTTGTTTTTGATTGAATTTTTTTTAATATTTATTCATTTTTATTCTTTTTTTATTCTATTAAATTTAAAAAGAATTAATGCCTAATTTAAAAATACTATTTGATTATTGAAAAAATGTGAATTATAGAGACTTGATTAATACAAATATAGCTAATATAAATTTAAATATTTAATTATTAATATAATTTTTTAATTTAATCAATGGAACCTCAAATGATGATGAATAAATAGGAGAACACTATAACCAAGAATAAGAATTGTTTGTAGGTGAAGGACAGGCTACACTTATTTAACTAGTATAAAAAAGAAAAGAAAATGAGGGAGAAGTATCTAAATTTCTAGTTAAAATTTATAGATTTATAGATTCTTAATTAATGTAAGCCTCCTGACCTTTACTATTCATAAGATTTGATCTTAAATTTAGACAAAAAAATTAAATGAATAAAGTCAGCTTAAAATTTTCAAAGAAAAGGTTTTTGTGTTAGATTTATTTTTTGAAAGTCAAAAATAAGTTCTATAGATTTAATAAAAGTCAAAAGATCAAATAACTATATTTGAGTAGTAATATAAGCAGTTAATCTTCAATATAAATCTGTATTTGCTGAATAATTTATCTCTCCCTCCAATGTAAAATTTTCTTAATATCTCATAATAATAATTGATTTATACAGTAATAAACCATAATAAAGTATGTTAAATTAATCCTTAATGATTAGGAATGTTCTAAATCAAGTTTTAGAAATGATATTGAAAAAATACATAAATTGTTCCTTTATTTGATAATAAGGAGAAATGTGAAAGCTCTTTCATAATTAATAAGTTCAATATCTCCTCATTTCTTTATTTTTATTATTATTATTATTTAAAAGACTTACTTAAATAGAATATTAATTTATTAATTTTATTTAAATTAGTTGAGTTTAAAAGGATTTTTTTCTCTTAAAACAAATATTTCATTATATATGCAAACTCATTCATCTTAAGCGTTATATTTAATTATAACTATACTAATATTTAATCATAATATTACAACTAGTATTTTAATATATAAAATTAATTTTATAATTAAAAAAAATATTATTATTTCTGAAATACTAACTTT